TTTATTTAGTAGGCAGAAATGTAAACACTGTCTTAGTGTCGCCAGAAATTCAAACACCGTTTTATGAATTTCTGTAGAAGTTGGTTACTTTGTTTCAGACATTTTTATTCACCACACACTTTCATTTAGCTGTATACAGCACTGATGCACCTCCAACTGATTACATAATAAAAAATAGAGCTCTGTTCACATTGGAACAACATTTTATGAATACACAAAAAATTGTATATTTTCAGTCTGTGAAAATATGTTTTAGGGGCCCCAGATTTGTAGTTTTTTGGAAAACCAGCTTCAGAGCAGAAAAGTCATTTTTGTTTTTCTGTAAACAGCCAAAACTTAATGTAAAGCATTTCTAGAAATGATGTGGTGTTAGTAATATTTTTAGAAACAATGAAAATATAGTTTTGAAAAAAACTATTTTTTGTGAAAAGTCTAACTGATCTGCTATAAACTAAACTCAAATATAATTTTATAAACTAAATACATTTCAAAGATAATTAGCTTTTTAACTATGTCACAGTTCTACTTACAAGCTTGTTATTTAATGTATTCCAAAATTACCCATAGAATACCTCGCACCAAAATATACTACCTATGGTACTTGTACCACAGTTTGATAATCATGGGTTTAGACCAAAGAAGACAATTAACMGATGGGTATTATTTCAAAATATCAGACTGAGAGCTCTGGAGATCATCATATAAAGGTCAGACTTATGCATTGAGTGAGCTTTTATTGCTGCTCACTGCTTTGGATTGACTGTGCATTTTGCTCGTCTGTAAGCAAAATATCTCATGAAGTACTGGATTTTAATGAAACTCAGAAAGCAATCTTTAGACTTGCATGTATAAATTATTACCATTTGAAGTCAATCCAATTCAAGATGGCTACCACAGTCTTAACAAAATAAATGGTTCTAATTCCATAAATTTCACAGATATTGGGCTAAATTTAGGTGTGGTAGGAACAGAGTCACATATTTTCAGTGCCATCAGATCTTTGTTTAAAACGTTGGCACACAAGGTGATGAGTAATATGCTATGTTTGAAATTTAATGTATATTTGATGACTTTGACAGATGTGTTTTTCCTCTGTTAAATGCCAAAATTTATTAAAACATTTTTGCTTATACATAGCAGACATCTGCTGTCTTTATGTAAATTTCTACATCCAGATGACTTCATGCAGAACTTGTTGAGAAAGTCTTGATATGTTTGCTGTCTTTCAATGCTGCAATATAGTTGAAGCATCTGTAAAAAGCTATTAAGAGGCTGAATATTTCTGGTCCTAATGGCCTGCAGCAGCCTGACAAGCCCTGCTGTGTGATGCTTTCCAACCCCTAAAATGTCACTTTCTGCTGGGCGCATAACAGGAGTGCCACCTGGGCTTCCTGCCTCCTCAGACAACCTGCCTGTTATTGACAAAGCACCACACATGGCTGACAGATTAGATTAGCTGCAACAATAACTGTTATCACATCAGCTCTTAGTGAGGCAAGGTTTTTGTGCTTTCTGAAAATGGAGTAAGGCAGTGATGACGTGACCCAGAGGTGTTTTTAAAGGGCTCTGAAAACATTTTCATTGAAGAGGAATATTGTCATCATGGGAGAGATTTTTCTATATCTCATCACCTGGAAGGAGATGGCTTTGTTAGATTAACTGCTCTGGTGCACCAGTCATCATGGCTTTCTTCAGTGATTTAAAGTTTTGGTCCTTGTAGAGTTTCTGTCAATCAAAAACTTTTGATCTCTGATCTCCTTTTTAAAAAAGGGATTCATGAATATTTGTAACATTAGACTTTATTTAATAAACATATGYTTTAACTGTAAAATAAAGACTAAAAATACTGTAGGCTGTTTAGTTTTTATAATTTTTAAACTAAAAGTTTAAAAATATATTACATGGACGGGGCCATTTTATTTACACGCAAAGCATTCTGGGTTAATGATGACATGGATAGGTCCTCGGTGCGAGCAAGCTATATCAACCCTGAAGGTTAATCTTGGACAATATCTGATGATCGACTCTTTTAAATGAAACCAGAGAGCGTTGACAGAGAGGAGAAGGTAGAAATGACTCAGCCTGTAACTGAAAATATGGATGGAGGACAACAAAGCTGCTTCATGGAAGAAGAACCTCAGCTTAGCCTGTTAGCTTTAGCATTAGCTCCGACGCTGTCACCATATGTATTAGCTCAGCGCTACACATTCTCCTCTCGTCACTGAGGTCCTCCATCCACATGACAGAGAGGGGAACGCAAAACTAAAAATATGGACGGAGGACCTCAGTTTAGTTTGCTAGTTTGTTGCGCTAGCGCTGAGATAATTCATACTGTATAAGACAATATAGCGTCGGCGGTTGTGCAAAGGCTAACAGGCTGAAGCACAGAGATGACAGTGCGCAAAGCAGGAAATGAGGATGGGAGAACTTTTTTCTAGCGGCAGATTGGGTTGGAAGATGGTGATTTGATGTTATTTAATCTGAAACAAAGTTTGTGAAAAAGTTGAGTAGCACACAGTTTGAACGCAGTTGTTTTTTTTTTCTCATTTCAAATTAAAAACTTGTAATGATGGCTGGTGCGTTGTTTAGATTTACACACCACTTCATGTTTTTTTTTACCTGCATTTAGCCAGTGGCGGGTGCTAATTTCCATCCCTGGTCCAAAAGACTTTGGTGTGGCAGTCTTCTTCAGATGCAATTTTACAAATCTGCAATATTCATTGTAGAGCAAAGAGGTTTAACCCTTGCAAAGGTTTCACACAAGCCATACTTGGTCAGTATTTTTCTAATTGTCTTGTCATGAACCTTAGAAATTTTGTCTTGTGACTTTATGGATGACAAGCAAATGTCTAAATTACTGCATTTCCAGTCTAACTTATTATTWTTWTTTTTTACTCAGAAGTCTTCTTTATGTTTAGTTTGAGCAATGCTCTCACACTAAGGATTCATTTATCAGTARTCAATAACGGCCCCTTAGGGATCCAGATGGCACTGACTACCCAAGCAAACTGGACATACAGTTAACCTGTCATCTGACCATCGAGCCCCAGTGCTTTCCATTTAAATCACTGTAGTATGTAAAATATTTGGTCAGTCTGTGACAAATCCAAAGTAAGACACTAGATTTTTTGCCTGTTTTCGCTTTTCTTTTTTTTTTCTCTTTCTTTTCTCTAAAGCATTGCATTAAAATTCTAACTTGGCTGATTTAAAAGATGGTGATTGTCCAAGGGAAAAATTTTTTTGGACCTGCAGTACCTSAGTGTTGCCTTAGAGAGGCAGTGTTGTGCCATTACAGGTACAGCTGCATTGTTAGTGGTTGTTTGGTGGCAGAGTGAGGTGGGGGGGGGGGGGGGGCATGAAGTGAGAATGAGGTAGAGTCAGAACGCCACTGCCTGTGTTACTCTGGCAACCTCAATTAAGACATGATGTCATTAGATTTGTTCATGTGTGCTGATTACATAAAGGACGTGTCTTTCTGCCTGTGCAGGGATTAATATGTTTTTGTATTTATTTTTTTACAGGCAGCTGAGTAGCCAAACTGCTACTTGTTTTCTCTTTAACATAAACCAGTTCTAGATAAACAGACAGGGTGTGTGTCAGTAATTCTGATTGAGTTGTACAAAAAGAAAGGAGATTTAAAAACAAATAGTTTAGTGGCTAAGTTTTGTAAACCTCGACATATTGTTAACACATCTCAACAACACACAAACTGTAAGTGAGTAACGTTTTATGGCTCACACATCTGTAGTGTGAGCATTCTCTGCCTGCATTTTATAGTTTTTCTCATGTCTACAAGCTGGGTTTCTTTGCAGTCTTAAAGTCTAATAAAGTGTTTTATTTTTTCAGATCTGGATAAGTGAACTGTATAGTAAACCTTGTGTTTCCAGATTTAATTTTCTATTAGATTTCCTAAAGGATGAAAGTTTGATTAGTTAAAAAACAAATTTGTTTTTTTGCAGTATTTCTATGCAGATTATAAACAAATATAGGTCATTTCATACCCCTGCCAAATTCTACCTTTTTTAGTTTTGGTGACTATAAATTCAGACATAGACATTAAAGAAATCAGTTTAACTCCGGTCTMTTTGTACACACATTGGCAACTGCCCCTACATAAAAGATAAGTAAATCTGTGATGCATAATGATTTGGTGTCCTTATTTGGATTCACCTGATTATTATTATTATTTTTTCGTTTCTGCCATGACTTTCAGACGACAAAAAACTTTGAAACTAGTTTGAAAATCCAGCTCTGTAGCTCAGACATATATTACATTAGAAACATCATTAAAATTTTAAGCTGAMCACATGGTTGGATGACTAAAATGGCATTTTCACAACTGTTTTTCCACATTTAGTTTAAGTTTCATGATTTTTGGACATTAACTGCAGAATGTTCATTTCAGTGTAAGATGCTTCACTAACTTTTAAGCTGTCTAAACAATCCAAATTTTTTTTTACAAACAAATACTTTTGACTCCCACAAGCTTGACACCTTACACGGTTCATACATCTTGACAGAGATRCTTCAGAACTTGCGTTTTTTTCTCAGATCCCTCCAGAGTGCACATATCCAATTTCTCATTGAACTCCATTGTATCTAAACTCTGAATTGTCTCTTAAATGGTAGTATAAATTTTAAAATTGAACAAATAGTTTTATTTGAAAACTCAAATCTATTAATTAGAACCATAAAAACATTCTAAATGCTTTTTTTTCCCATAAGTGTTGTTGTCTGCTATCCATCTTTGTTTTTGTTGTATTGGAAAACACAGTCCTAGTTCAAACGTAATTGTAAAGTATTTGTGAAGTCATTGTCTGTATATAGACATAAAAAATGAACCAAAATTAACTTGAAAATTTGGAAAATTGTTGAMTTTTTATCTTAGAAAAGTATAGAAATCCTGTACCAACCAGAGTTCTGAAGTTTGTGAGGTTGTGTGCATAATGTTAACATTATCTCCCACATCTAACCCTTTGTCCCCCCTCTATTTTTCACAGATTGCCTTCTCTCAGCACAGTAACTTCATGGACCTGGTGCAGTTCTTTGTCACGTTCTTCAGGTGAGCACAGAGAGAACCACATATCTCTAAAGGGATACGGTCTCCCACTGACTAATGATCACAGATCAGTTTCCTGCATACAAAGATCTGTTTTAAAACCTAAAGGTGAAACATCTGTGCCTTTTTATTTGGCAGATTTGGATCAGACCTGCTTAAGTTAAGCCAACCTATGGTTAGCAGACACCCTTCTTTAGTCTAGAAGTCACAAATTATTTCCTGTCTTAAGAGTTTAAAACAAGTTATTGAAACAATCATTCAAAAACTAAGGTTTTGTAGAATAAAACACTGCTTGCAGCACAATATAGGTTGTATTGTTCACACTATGCCTTTAGAGGATGAGACAAATGCTGACAAACTTTTCTGAGATATTTTCCTTTTTTAATCTGTCATAATGCTTAGCACAACAAAATTTTGTTTGGTGCTCTCGGCTAAGAATTCACACTGCCTAAATTAACCAGCCTATAATGATTTAAATTTTGTAAAAAATGATAAAAGTTTTGACAAGTCAGCAACATGTTGTAACCAGATGGAGTAATGAAAAGAATTAACCCTCCTGAGCTGGTATTTTCTTTTCGAATTCTGGCATCCATTGTTGGTGTTTAAATAGGTGTAAAACATGTTTGCCCTGTGTTTAGATTAGAGTGAAAATGGGTCAAGCAGATAAAACATTTAACTAGAAAAAAACCTTAATTACTTTACTTCAGTACTACTAATCCAACAGCAGAAAGCTTTGGCAAAATTCTCTCTTCTACCTCCTCCAAGGTCATTTTCTATTTTTTTCCTCTTCTCTAATTACACTTTCTTTAATTTCACAACTTAATCTCACAGAGAAAACATTTTATGGCCTTTTTATTGCCTGTTGCCAAACATCAAAATGGTGTTATTGACAGCCACCAATAGGTATGTGGTGCTGATTAGAAAGATGATTGTTTACTATCGAGAGCAACTAATTTGTTACTCTCCTGCTGAAGATAATTATATTCAATCACAGAAAGTTGGATCTTGACTGCAACAGTTTATCTATTTAAAACAAATAATGTAGTTGGAGCTTATAAAATCTGACAAAATGTCTACTTCTTGTAACAGACCATACGGATTTGAACCTGTTCAGGATGACTAATAAAGCTGCACTTTAAAAGGACAGTAGTAATAACTAACAAATGCATAATCCTGTTCAGTAATCTGTTAAAACTTGATGGATTATTTAATTTAAACAATGATGTCCGTTTTCAAAACTTAAATGTATTTTTTTAAGCTGTGGGAGTGGAGTGAGAATTTAAGGAATTGTTGCCTTTGATATTTACAGTATGTGTTTGTCATGTGAAGTGGGGTGATGGATCACTAAAATGTGCAACAGCAGTGGTCTAAAAGTTCTAGTTCGCTGTCAGCACAAGTTCTTTTTGAGTTCAGTGTTTCCCTGTGTATTACAGGCCTGGCGGTCCGCCATAATTTACTTGACCCCCCTCCAGACTAAGCATCCTGACCACACCCCTGCCATCCTGCCACTTGCCCCCCACCAACCCTGGCGTCAATGAAAGTTTTATAACTTCTTGCAGAGTGGACAGGATAAGTGGCTTTGACCTAACATTTACAACATACAATAAAACCATTGTTTTTAAATTAATTTTTTAACTTTCATGTAATAATCATCAGTTCTTGTACAGTTTGTGGGAATAACCATTGGATTACATTCTGATTTGGTAGGTTTGTCCATTTACAAAGGAATGTAATGAACTGTCTCTAAATGTTTAATTTTAATGGAGAGAGACAGAATATCAGCTAAAAATGTAGAAAAATAAGTTACAGATGAATTTGTATGCCATGAGGGAGATAAGTATTTGATCCCCAACTAAACATGACTGCCTCTCTTGCCACCCTGAAGCTTCTATGGATTTTCTAAAGGACTGAGATCTTGAAACTGGTCAGAAAACTCCATGATCTTAATGTGCTTCTTCTTTAGTAATCCCTTGTTAGTTTGATGGTACGTTTTGGGTCATTATCTTAATGGAAGACCTATCCATGACTCGTCAGTGTTCTGGTCTAGGGAAGTAAGTACTTGCATTAACAAGTAGCATTAAGGGTATTTGGAGGGGTTTATTAATTATTATTAATTGCCCAAAGATCAAAAGTGTATATCCTTCCTTTCAATATATTAGGGCATTTATTTACAATATTTGGAATACAAAACAGGTTAGGAATTGGCTCATGAATGATTCATTTCAAATAAACTTAGGTCAATTCATAACTCAAAAAAGATTTTATGGGTAGATTTATCTAGCAGAATGGGATGGAGATGGAATGTGACAAATTATTTATACTGTTGGACGTGTGATTGACACAAATAATTAAAATATTAAAATATACCAAGTATAAGTCTTTCTGTTATGGCTGCTGTCTCTCTTCCACACACAAAGTAGCTCTTACTCTGCAACTTTGTGGTTTGTTTACCTTCTCTGGGAAAGGTGCGGCGCTTCCAGGCTGTTCTCCTGATCAGGTTGCTACTTTGCAGTTTAGGGGTGGACGTCCAGTTCTAGATGTTTCGCTGTGGGTCTGAACAAAGCAGGTGCCTTAGGGTGACTGAACCTGAAGACAGCAGCAGTGGGTGGTTTGGCTCTCGCAGAGTTGTTTACAAAAACTGGTATCCAGCCAATTTAAAGAAACCAAAGGATGCCTTGGATGGTTGTTACTGTCCTTGAGGGGATAAAGCTAATAAAATTCAAAATTTATGCGGGACCGGGATGAGTGTGAAAGAGCACAGCAGAGTTACTCAAAAAAGATAACGAAATGTGTTATAAAGTGAAAAAAGCACTTCACAAAAAATAAAGGAGTGTCCTTGTTTTCCCAAGTCTCACATGGTATTTGATTTATTCTTTTACTTAAACTGTTTATTTCATTGCAAAATGAAGAAAAAGCAAAGTATATATCCCACTTGGTTTAATCGCATAACATGGTGGAAGCTTCCTTGTTCCAAATTTTTGGTATTACCTGCCCACCTGACAAAAATATTCCCTGGCAAACTTAAAACCAGCCTGATGTATGGTATATATGTCATTTGCAGTAGGGGGATCTTCCGGTTGTTGCAGCCTGGTGTGTTACCAATGGTGTTTTTGGTGACTGTAGGACCAACTGCTTTCAGATCATTAACAAGTTTCTCCTCTGTAGTGGTTGTCTGTTTCCTCAGCTTTTCTATGATCATCTTCAACCCATGAGGCACAATCTTGCATGGAGTTCCAGACCAACAGCATTTGATGGACATTTTCTATTTTCCCCATTTCCAAATAATCATCCAAACAGTTGTCACCTTCTCAGCAAGCATCTTACTCCTGGTCCCATTCCTGCCTTGTGCTGATATATCTTGTCCCTGACATCTTTTGACAGCTCTTTGGTCTTGCACATGATGGTGGAGAGGTTGGAATGGAAGACAATGATTTTTTGTTCCTTATACACAAAAATTTGAGATCAGAAGTGTTCGAAACTGATTGATAGTTTGTCATCTGTGTGCCACTGGGGTACATAACCAATCTGTGGGAACCAACAATTCTTGCTGAGTTGTGGAGGATCAAATACCCATTTCCCTCTGTGACATACTGCTTTTTTGGTGGGGATTTTTGTCTTTCTGGCAGCCTAATAAAACGTCAACATTGTTCCTTTTTTAATACTTTATTACTATCTAGAGTTGCTGAAGTCTCCACATGTTCACCAGCTAGTCACTAGTCATCAAGTATTTCTGGCAGTTAGTTTGCAGTGGGTTTGACAGTTTTATTTTGCTCAAAACAACTTTTGCTTCAGCAGGAAACTGTGCCGTTCGGGGTGGAAAGACTTAAACAAAAGCATTGAAGCTGTGCACATATGGAACTGAAAGCAAGTCAGAGGTTTTGCTTCACCCCTGCAGATGACAGCTTTAAAAGTGCGCATTGTTGCTTTGGAACACTACAGGAACATTTGTTGTAGCTGCTTAAATACAGTTTTCCTGTAGCTCTTTAAAGAGTAACTTACCCCAAAATTAACTTTTTTTTAGCTGATAAACTGTCTAGAATGTGTCTAAAACGTTAT